GCAGAAAGGGATCTTGGAGTCATTATTGACTCCAAGATGAACGTGGGCCAACAATATGAGGTCACGGTTGGCAGGGCTAACCGGACCTTGTCGTGCATCCACAGATGCATCTCAAGCAGGTCCAGGGAGGTGATCCTCCCCCTCTATGCAACACTGGTCAGGCCACAGCTGGAGTACTGCGTCCAGTTCTGGGCGCCCCACTTCAGGAGGGATGTGGACAACATGGAGAGGGTCCAGAGGAGGGCCACCTGCATGATCCGGGGACAACAGGGCAGACCCTACAATGAGAGATTGCGGGACCTGAACCTGGTCAGCCTCCACAAGAGAAGGCTGAGGGGGGACCTGGTGACTGTCTATAAACTCACTAGGGGGGACCATAAGAGTCTGGGAGAGACCTTATTTCCCCGAGCGCCCCCTGGCATAACGAGGAATAACGGCCACAAGTTGTTGGAGAGGAGGTTTAGATTAGACATCCGAAGGACTACTTCACGGTCAGGGCGGCTAGGATCTGGAACCAACTTTCAAGGGAAGTGGTGCAGGCTCCTACCCTGGGGGTCTTTAAGAGGAGGCTTGATGCCTACCTAGCTGGGATCATTTGAGCCCAGATTTTTCTCCTGCCCAGGCAGCGGGTCAGACTTAAAGATCTACAAGGTCCCTTCTGACCCGACTTCTTTGATTCTATAAAGTGTTCTGTGTTAGACATAGCTTTATAGAATGCAGCTGGCAAACCTGGCTGCCTCTTCAGCTAGCTCCTAAAAAATTCTTGGTGTAAAAATCCAAAAACTATTGAAAGCTGAAATTCATGGAGATCACACAGTGTAACACCCCTTCGTAACACTCTGCTCATCCAAAATGCCATTCTGTCATAGGCTGTATTTTTGCATCATGGCCATGGCTAAACAAGCTAGTGGGTGAACTCCCTATTAGACCCTATGAAACTAGTTTAGATTATAACATTTGCCATCTTGTAGAACTTAAATTGGACATTTTTAGGTTCCCAAAATTTTTGGACCAGCAGACCACTGTCAGTCCTCTATTTTTTATTTTGTTGTGTGTGGACTATGAGATTCCCTTATTAATTATTCAGTTGAAGGGAATGGTCACTTTAGTCTGCAGACTCCTGACCAATGAGCATAGTTTTGGAACCACTGAGTAGGGCTTTGTGTTTTTGGAAGACTTTGTGGGCAAACGGTAAGCTAATAAAATCAAAGTGTGTATTAGTGTAGTGCTTGAGGTCCCCAGAAGAGATCAGAGCCTCATTGAGCTAGGCACTTTATTCCTGCCCTGATGAATTCTTACCATATGCAAAAATGAGGTGATTTATCCAAATGGGACCAAACTAATTGATTATCCTGAGTCCTGGCATATAGTACCTTATCCACTAGACTGCACTGCCTTGTTGCAAATCTGAAACGATTCAGTTTTGGAAGGTGTTTAAAATGTTTCATCCCTGTTTAACTTGGACCTCAAAGACCTTTGAAGAAAAGTTCTTAATTAACATTTCAGCTGCTCACGTGAGGATTGAGTGCTTCCAGTCTGGTACTCGGCAGAGTTCTCTAGTAATACAAGCTCAGATTTGATATTCCTTTAAAAACTTTGCCTTTTTTTTTCTTTTGTACCTCATACAATTAAAGCCAAGTTAGAAAGCAGGTTGCCTTTTAAACCCATTGTCGTCTTAAATATTGTCTAAATAAAGCTGGAAAAAAGTTGTATTTCCTTTATCCTGCTTTATCCTATCTTTGTCCCTTTTATTGCCTCTTCTTCTCCCGTTGTTGTAGCCCACATTGTGCATATTGTAGAACTGTCAAGCAGAATGCCAAGGTACCTTGCCCTCTATGGGAAATAATTGCAGGAATTCTCCAGTCAAAGATATTTCCATGACACCATTCTTCCCAGGTACCAGGATGTGGACAGCATCCACATCTCGGAGGAAAGCAGAGTTTCTCAGGGCCCTGAATCCTTAGATAGTGGGGAAAGAGTCTTTTGATCCTCAGAAGGAGAAATCAGATGCTTGTCATCCACTCCCTTCCATTTAGCAATGAGAGAGAAAAGATTTCCAGCTGGAGTTTTGCATGGTGCTTGCTGTATCAATGTCCAGAGCTTCTGCTGCATATGGAGTGCCTCATATTGATACCTGTTGTATGTTTCTGTTCTTTCTTAAATGTTTTGAAAAATGCAGATCACATTGCATTGATTATAGAACTTCTGGGGAAAATACCTCGCAAGCTCATTCTGGCAGGAAAATATTCTAAGGAGTTTTTCACCAAAAAAGGTAAAGCTAATA